CATGTCGAGCTGTCTGTGCTCTCCATTTGTTTAGAGCTGATGAGGTTTTTATAGCTCGTGCTCTTCTTTGAACTCTGAATCAGTGGAAAGAATGCCTTTAGTTGGAGACAAGGGATCTCTCACCCCGCTCTTCCATTTTATTTCACATTCCTCTTTACATTCTTCTGGTTTGTTGACTTTTCGTTCTCTCTATTGTTTTCCCGGGAAGTGGTAAAAGCTCCGGCAGAAATATATTGTATGTATTTCTGCCTTGGAATAGTGTCAGCGAAACCTGTGGAAAGACATATGTTGTGATGTTGTGTTGCCATGTGAACTCAGTGTTGGAACGCTTTTTCTCAGAGGGCATCTCAATCGTCTTCTCTGGAACATCACATGCCACTTTTTAAGTTTTGTCTATTTTTTTCACAAAAATATTTTCTTTACAAAAAGAAAAAGTAATAAATGTTTTCAAAGAACATTTGAATTTAACGTAACTCTATAAGCAGATTTGGCTGGAAAATGATGCAAAGCATTATCAATTGGTATGTCATTTTCAACAGTCTTACTGATGCATCCAAAACTGTCATTTTTCCCCCCCAAATTTGACAAAACCTCATTAATGTCAGCTAGCTAGATAACATTATCTTGGTGACAAATCAGCAGAATTTGCAGCAACACTGTAGAGTACACCACAGAAATCCAAATATTTCGAGTTTGCAAGGCATTAAAATAGTTGTACAGTTCTGTCTACTAGCCTAAAACTCTCTCACACTGAAATTACAAATTTCAGTGTTTAATTTTATGGGCACATTTGTTTACTTTTACTCGATAAGCAATCCTGATACAGTGTTGAGTCGCCACTTGTAAAATCTGGGTCTTGAATCAAAAACAGTTGAGAAGCACTTCTGTAAACATCTTTATCTAGATAACTCCATTATTTTCTTTCCCTCAAGAAGAGTTGCTTTAGATGTGCTTAAACTGCTAAAATTCACCAAAATTTACACAATTTTTTTGAGCCTTTTTGTGGTTCTAGAGCAAGACTCCTCTGTTGGCCTTGTCTTGGGAATTGCCTCTTTGAAGTGAAGGAAAAGAGGAAACACAAATGCTGTTAAACTTTTTTTTTCAGTAAGGACTCGGGAGGATGGGTCAATCTAAGTTGGGATGGACATGAATGAAACTGACTAAAGGTCAGTACTAAACTTGAAGGTTTTGAAGCACACAGGAAAGATGGCCATTTCTTTATCTCTTGAAATATGCCGATTATCTGTTGTTTGTTTTATCCATCCACACTAAAGTTAAAAAGGTAAAGAACATGCCCTAGGCTCTTGATGCTCAGCAGAGGGACTCATGTTATGACCGAATTTTATTTTCCCATAACTCTCCTAAGCTTTTGGGATGGCTGTTGCATCCTCAAATGATTAGGAGCAGGAAAGATAAGACGCTGATACTGTCCACGCATACTTTATTTCACCCTCATTGAAGTTGGTAGGGTTCCATGTGCCATCTTGATCTCTCTGCCGGTGTTGCCTTTCTCCCTTGAGCGCTTCAAGGCCCAAGCCATCTCAAAAGCATATAAATCTGAAATCGAAATCCTCCTCGGTTGATTCTTTGTGATGGGGAGGAACACCTGAGGGAGCATCTGATTCATATTAACCTGCATTGCTTAGATGAACAGTTCTGTGGAGCTAAGTGTTGCCGTTCCCACTAGTCTTGTATCACTTCCCTTGAGCAAAATGAGCACCAGTCGCATGGAACCTTGACATGAATATCAACATTAGGAGCCTGTTTGGCAGGCTCACCGGGGTTTCACACAAGATGCTTACCATAGCCTATTATTCTCGTAGGTGGGATAAAATTACATTTATGATCATTATTTTGTATCTTGGATACAGTGACTTGAGTTAGAGGTGTAATATTGTTTAAATGCTCTGTTTGTGGTTTCTATCAACGTTTGAGAAGTTATTTCAAAGCAAGTATGTGCAGGAAGTTTGATACGGAGTCCTAATCTATCTTCTTTCTTTACTGTGACTGATTGTACCATTGTTTCTACAGCGCAGTTAGTTTTGACCACCGATAGAGGAAAAAGGCATTGTAAATAAAACAACTAAAGAGGAGCTGCTGTAAAGCACAACCTGTGAAGTAGAAGAAAGTAGGAGGTAGATCCATCAATCACATACAGGGGGTGTTGATGACAGTTTTGTGGCTGGCAGACACTGTAATTGCATATCATTATACCTGCACAAGCTCTTGTTTGAGGACCTAGCTAGCTGTTAGCAGGGTCCACGATGACATCAGCTGTTAAACCTGTCTTCTCTAATGCATTTCTGCTCATTTGACACATCTAACACGTACTCTGAAGACAGACAAATGTGCTTAATGTAAGGGTGAGGCTATTTTAGAGTGCGCAAGCTGAGTTTGTTTTACTGTCTGGTCTCTATGATCTGAACCAATATGCTCAAGCACTTAGAGCAGGGCTGTCCAAACTTGGTCCTGGAGGGCCGGTGTCCTGAAGAGTTTAGCTCCAACTTGCCTCAACACACCTGACTGGAAGTTTCTATGCGTAGTAAGAGCTTGATTAGCTGGTTCAGGTGTGTTTAATTAGGGTTGGAGCTAAACTCTGCAGGACACCAGCCCTCCAGGACTGAGTTTGGACAGCCCTGACTTAGAGTCATTAGATAGTAGTCCGATATATTTTGTGTGTATTTTACGGTCCTGTGGCAGCCTAGGGCAGTCTCTCACAGACAGACAGAGAGGGGTCTATTCAGGGCACAGAGTGAGAGCTGATGGATTCCCATGCCTGTTTTCTTGTTTACAGCCGCACCAGCAGATATCTAGCGTGTTCACCAGGCCCCCTCTCTTGCCAACAAATTCTTCCCAGATTAAGCAACAGTGCTCTGCCTTCGCGTCGAGTGGATCTTGCATTCCTTGGACAATGACAAACAGATCTAGGCTGGATTCTTCCTTTGGCCGCTGTCTCTTACATTAAAACAGGATGGTCGTGTCGTTGCTTCAACACTAGGAGGGTTGAATGAACTTGTTTTCTTGGCTTGTTAACAGTGAATGGGTATGGTTGCTCTGGCAACTACAAAAGTGAATGAACGCATAATGTTGACATCACCGAATGCTTCAATGAAGGTTCAATGTAAAAATGACTCATTAAAAGCGATTTCAGTGTCTTGGGCTGTTTACACAATTGATTCGATTTAGATTTGCTTGGTCCAAACCATAGTCAATGAAAAAAGTGCTGTATACAATATAATAAATATATTAAAAAAATTATTTAAATGAAATAATAATAAAAAAAAAAAAAAATCAATTTATTGCACATAATTTAATATATATGCTCATCTTTTTCAGTACCTATGGTTCGGACTGAGCAAATAAAATATTTATTTTTTAAATAAAATAAATGAATTACATTTTTTTAATATTTATTATATTTTGATTATATTCATTGTACTATATGCACTGTAAATTGCATAATATAGTGTTTAGTAATCTCAGATCAGAAAACTTATTTTCTGACTAATGTCAAACTGACTTGAGTCCACAACAGACGCTCTAGTGTGAAAATATTCTGTTTTTGAAAGTTTTTTTTCATTTTTAACTTGAATATATTTGTTGGTAATATCCAGAATGCTTTTTCAGTTCTGATTCTTCTTGAAGGATGTCGATGACCGAATGAGTCACAAACTAACCTTGGTTTATGTATTTTAGCAGTTTAGCAGTAGTGTATTTTAGTACCTTTGTATACACCCTATTTATTCACTTCTTCCATTGTGTGAACATAATTGTGCAAACAGAAATTTTTTCAATAAATCATCATTTATTCACCTGTCATCTTATCATTGCAAAATAAATGCTGACATAATGATCTGGTCTTATATCATAATGAAGAGGTTTATTTTGTGATAATTACCTGTTGACTGTACCTTATCCCACTTAATAAATGTTGAGTTGAGAAATTAATTTATTTTGTGAGAAAAACAAGATTGATGAATGCACAAGAGGCACGAAACTAGCACAGTGTGATCCACTATACAGTCTGGCAGTTGCACACTAAACTATTAGGCCTCAGAATGCAGCAACTGACCAATCACAATTGAATATACCATGGTCTGTCTGAATACTCGAATCTGATTGGCTGGCAGGTATGCATTAAAACCGTTTAATACACTGGTAGTTTCAAGTCCGTTTAATCACCGTTCTATATTAATGTGCTGTTTTAATTGATGCACAACACATACATCATTCGTCGCACACACACACACACATAGAAGAGAGAGAGAGCGACACCTTCGCATTAGGTGGTTCTTGGTTTCCACATCGTGCATTAAAATTGTTTAATGCACAGCTAGCCGTGCATTATTCCTTTACGTATTCCAGGGAATCATGTAGGAATAACAAATAAGTCTTAAGTGCAAATTTTCAGCCGCTCAGCCAGTATTTAGAGATTTTTGCATTCTAAAATACAGATTTTGCAGGCAAAGTGGCACATTACATGCTTTTCTCAAAGGAGTGGAGCATGAATTCATAAAACTCTCACCATTAGAGGCTGTAAATAGTTTCAGCATTCAGTCAGTCTTGTTACAGTGGACTTCAAAGGCTAAGAAGCCCCTGGCACTGCTTATGTTCATGCCTGAACTATGAGGCTTCTTTCTCATTTGCTTAAATGCTTTGGTATTTTTTCAGACTCTAAACCGCCTTTGTGCGCTGTCATGTTTGGTAGACATTGGTAGCCTTTGTTCTGGCCTTTTGCATGGCCACGTATAATTGATAATGTCCATGTTCAGTAGATGTCACAGACTATCATTAATGCAGTGCTGATTTGCATTAAAATGATTTTCCGGACAAAAATGTTTCCTCATGCGTAAATGAGGATTTGTTTAAACAAGCAGGCTGTCTTAAATGTGATTATTTTATGATTAGCTTACTGTGACAAGTCCTCGCTGTTTCAATATTACCAGTAGAGGTTTTCTGAGTGTTAACAGATTTGCTCCATAAAGTGTTTTCTTTTGCAGGTGGAAATGTTCGCCTGGCGGTGCACTTCATGAAACGTCACGTCATCCTGAGATGCATAGTCAGGCAGCACTACAGAGGTAGTTTATTTCTTCTTCTCATTGATTAAAGAAGACTGGTTTGAGTATTTCTTTCCATATTAAGTTGACTCAGGAAATGGATGATTGTATCAGAAGCACCTGTGTTGTTATTAGTTCATACAGCTGTCAGGCTCAGTCGGAGGTCACTGTCTGGATCGTTTTTATTTTGGAAAAAGTTGACTGAAATATGTTCACTTAGTTGGCAACTCAGAACATGATTCCAAATGCGTTTTATGTAGAACTTGCAGTTTCAAGTCAGATGTATACAGATCTAAGAAAAAGTTATTTGAAGAAACAACCCATTATATCTGCCTATACAGTTAGTGACGAATACACTCCATCCTAATAGAGGCAGAGCTCAACAAATATTTCAGACTACAGCCAAGTCCACCCGAGCCTGGCTTGATGGCAGCTCACAGGGAACATGTGGTTTACTTATCATAGTAAACAAGTTCAGACTAAAGCTTCACTGTATCTTTAGAGATATAGCATGTCAGACTCAGAAGGGAATTACAGTCATCATTGCACATGATTTATGTTTAACATGCCTCAAAGAAATACAAACTAAGTAGGAGCATGCAGACTAATAAGGCTGTCCGGTATAGATTATTTTAAGTGATCTAGGAAAAACAAAAAGAAGGAAAAGTAACTGACCAACTGTTTGCTTGGCCTTCATTTTTCAAGCTAAATTTGGCCAAGTTTGAATGAACTAAACCATAATACATCAAACAATGTGGTTTGTTTTACTTATATTGAGTTATTTGAAACTTTATTGACTGAGGGGCAGTGGGGACTTAAAGTTTACATTCAACTTTGTGGCAGCTTAGCCATTTTGTTAAAAACTACAAATAAAGCTATTTCAACATTTCCCATGAAGAGGGCATTGAGGTCATTTTAAACTGTTGATGCTCCTGTAAATTCATTTTAGTGGATCAACTCCCATTTTTTTGCTTTAGACATCTGTGAGAATTTTATATGAATATCATGCATATTTTCATCTCCCCTCCCATTTCACCCTTTGTTTCAGACGGAAAATTTACTGTATATAATATTGTACTAAATGGTTTCCACATCACTTTAGCTAAAAAATTTTTTTTACCTTCACAGAGTTGCGTGTGTTTCCCGAGCGTGTTGTAGTGTGTGCCAGTCCTCTAGAGAATTCTGCACTTCCCAGTGGAAATCTGAACCTGGATGTGGTAAGAGCTGCTTATGTTATAAAATAATGTTTATAATCAGTGCCGGAGAAGCTACTTTGAAACTAGCTTGCCAAGCTACAGTCTACTTAAATAAATGTAGTTAAACTACAGTCAAGTGACCCTCTTTAAAAATAGTTTGCTACACTATGAGTTAACAAAAGTATTTTTTTAAAGGGGCAAACTGATTTTATTCTGTGGACAGTCTGTTGGCTCTGTTGGTTTCTGAGATGATGACTAGTTATTCTCCAACTCTTTATATAATGTATAAAGAATGTAAGAAAATGAAGTGCATGTGTCTTTAATGTATGCTGTTTCCCATTCTCTGCAAATGCCATGAAGTGGGTTCTGGACTCATGTAGTTAATTCCTATGTGTTTGGTTCTCCCCTCTCGCTTATTATGGTGCGGCAAAAGAGTAGTTGGAAAGGACTTAATGGTGAGTTCTGTCAGGACCACTACCGTCAAAGATGATTGACAATTAGCATACAGTTTGGATTGGCGGTATGGTTCCGTTCTGGGCAAGAACTCCCTGCGCATCCATGCAGCCTAGCATGGATGAGAGCAGGGAGAGCAGCGATAACCCCCCCAGGGTAAACAGAACAGAACCAACATAAATGTATTGCAAATATCGTCAAAGTTCAATAATGTTATGTACACATTTTAGAATTAGTCTGATTCAAAGGAGAATCAGAAGGCTGAATCCTGACTGACAGAGGAGGAGTTGGGGATGGTGGAGGGTAATTAGCTATTGAGCAATGCGAAAACTGCTGATACTACTGCGGGACCTTATATATATGAATACTTAGGTGTCGTATTCCCATAGGTTGATGGGGAACAGCTGAGAGTCAGCTGATGCGAGCTTGACTAACGTGACCTGCCAGAACTAACGCTACGCTTGATATACTTTTTATTGTATACTGCTCTCTGAGGTGGACCACTAAATGCCTTTGGCCTAAGACGTTGAGCCTTGGGCCTTCATTTATAAAATGCACATACTATCAGATTTTATCTTAAATACCATATCAATTAATTCAACATTATTTATGAAAATGTAAAGATAAATAGGCAATCACAATATGCATTATTATAATTATATATGCAAATGAACATTTTAACTGCTTTTTAAGAATTACATAACTGAAATTAGTTCATTTATATTAATTATTTCTTTAAAATATTACTACATGCCCACATACACTACTGAACCTTAAAAAGATAATTGTGGGCAGCTTATATCAGGGGTTTTCATATCTGCTTTTTGAGGCCAAGGACACCCTTTCTAAAATCTAAAGGTTGTGTCTTTTGTATATGCCCCCTAAAAATGCTTCTGATTATCTTTAAAGGGGTCATCGGATGCAAAATTCACTTTACAAGTTGTTTGAACATAAATGTGTGTTGGAAGTGTGTGTGCACATCACAAGCAGTCGTCATTTACTCCCGACATCTGAGCCGCTGAAGACGCAGAGGATTAACGTTACTTTCGTTTTTGAAGGGAATGCGCCGATCCCGATCTGCCTAAATGCGTTTAAGTTCTCGCGAATCATTCGTGATCCAGCTTCATCAACAGAAGAAGTGAGTATAAGGGTTTTTTAATGAATCTTTGCAAATCGCCTTTCCTAATAATGTGTTAGTTAGCCAGTTTCGCGGCTGAAGTTTACAGTCTGCTCGTTACTAGGCAACCCTCTACATTGCGAGTAAATCACTCACATATGCGACTAAATCTTCACTCTGGCGACTAAATGATGTCTAATATTAGCCAATGGATAATACATTCTCAGATTTTACTCGCCAGTGTGTGAGTTGGAGGCTGAGTATATGATTAGCACAGATATATTTTCACTCGCCGAGCACTCTGACTTTCACTCACCGTCAAGCGATCTGTGCTATTTTTCAGTTCATCTCAATAGATGTGCAGCGTAGCTGTATTTGACGTACCATAAACTCTAGTGTGAAGGCGCACGACTCACCGTCTCTTTGCAGAGAGCACTGTCAACAACAAGACATATAGGCTACTGAATTGTCTTTATCATAGTCCGTTATTATACAACATTAAGCGTTTTGCTTAATGTTGCAGTGTCATCAGACTCACAGTTTGCAATCTTATGAGAGGAGCTTCCTTCACTTGACACTGCAGAAGTCTGGGCCAATTCTATTGAAAAAGGATAAAAAACCCCACTTATTTCAGTAATTTAATGTAATGTAAATATGGTAAAATAATTGTGATTGCCCCTAATTTTGAGTATGCCGAGAACTGTCTATAATACGGGTGTCAAATCGTAAACTTATTTATTTATTTATTTTTTACATACTTCATTCTAGGGTCAATTAAATGAAACATTGTGCAATATTCACATGGAGGCCTGAAACAATTTAAGTGTTTATTTAATCTGATTATTAAATACATTTGTATAATTTTTAATGAGTAACATGAGTAATAAGGCATCTTAAAATGAACAGTGTATTACATTAGAATAAATTAACATGTGTTAAGAATTAATCTTACTAATAATTTATTATTTATAATGTGAAAAGAAAATACAGATAGATTCAGACATATTTCTCCATTAAAACTTAACTTTGTATATCTAGAAATATTTAGGACATTATTTAACCCAAAATAGCATGCCATATGAATTGATAAAGACTGGTTTCAAGTTAAAGTACCTGCATGCTCTGCCAGTGGGCACTTTAGGAAATTGAAAGACTGACAGATTTACAGTTTAACATACCTTTAACTCACTTTCACGATGCTTGCATAAACTTAATTGTCATAAGAAAAACTTGATGGTAGCGCGTTTGTGTCTTGACGCAGATATGACGACATGACAGACATGATATTCAGCACTGAGAACAAGCAACGTACAGATTACGCAGTTCACACTTAAGCCTATGGCGAATGGAAGTTTTTAAACGCGCTCTAATTTCAGAGTTTTGCATTAGATAACGTCAATCAAATGACTGGTAAATGTTCCGCGTTATGCCAGCTCTGTCTGCAGAGAGACTGCTCGTTTGCAGCGGGCGAGACAGACACTTCAACACGGTGT